AGATCATAATACGAGGACAACTACATTTCAAGATCCAAGACCTGGTGCACCTAAAGGGTTTGTATATTTTCTTTTAAATCATTCTTAAATATATATATATATATTTTTTTATGCTACTTATTATTATCTCGTTATTTAGTCCAAAAGGTGTTTATCGTGTACCAAGAGCATATGAAAGATCATTTCGATGGAAATTATCACAATTTCGCTTTTTATGTCAGACCAATGCATTACCGAATCATATAAAAATTAGTGTTAATCGACAAACATTGTTTGAAGATTCCTATCATCAGATAATGAATGCTGAAGCTTTTGCACTAAGACGCAGATTATATATAATATTTAAAGGAGAAGAAGGTTTAGATTATGGAGGTGTATCAAGGTAAGAATTAATTATTCTAATTAAAAATTATTTTAAAAAAATAAAAATGAATTAAATATTAATTTTGATTTTAGAGAATGGTTTTTCTTATTAAGTCATGAAGTGTTAAATCCAATGTATTGTTTATTTGAATATGCCAATAAGAGTAATTATAGTTTACAAATTAATCCAGCATCTTATGTTAATCCTGATCATTTACAATATTTCAAATTTATTGGAAGATTTATAGCAATGGTATGATAATTTTTATTTTCTTCATAATATATTTTTAATAAAATCAATAAAATTAATATATATTTTTATATAAAGGCTCTTTATCATGGACGTTTTATCTATAGTGGATTCACTATGCCATTTTATAAACGTATGTTAAATAAAAAATTAATTATGAAAGATATAGAATCTATTGATCCAGAATTCTATAAATCTCTTGTATGGATAAAAGAAAATAATATTGATGAATGTGGCCTCGAATTATATTATAGTGTAGATTTTGAAATTCTTGGCCAAGTAATACATCATGAATTAAAAGAAGGTGGTGACAAAATTAGAGTTATTGAAGAAAATAAAGAAGAATATATTAGGTATAACAAACATTAAATTAATATTTTGTATGTTAAAGAATAATTTATTTATTAATTTTTATTATATAAGGTTAATGACAGAATGGAGAATGACAAGAGGTATAGAGGACCAAACTAAAGCATTTTTAGAAGGTTTTAATTCTGTTGTACCATTAGAATGGTTAAAATATTTTGATGAACGTGAATTAGAACTTATGCTTTGTGGTATGCAAGAAATAGATGTAGAAGATTGGCAACGCAATACAATTTATAGACATTATACACGAAATAGCAAACAAATTTTATGGTTCTGGCAGGTTTGTTATTATATATGTAATACATAATAATAATTATATATGTAAAAAATTATTCTATATATTCTATATGTCAGATTTATTATATTTATATATTTTATATTCAGTTCGTGAATAGAACAGATAGCGAAAAACGAGCTCGACTTTTACAATTTGTAACGGGTACTTGTCGAGTACCTGTTGGAGGATTTGCAGAATTAATGGGTAAATAATAAATACTAATAATTAAATGAATTTTAAATAATTTAAATGAAATTAAATTCAAATTATTTAAATTTAAAATTACATTTTTTTAGGAAGCAATGGTCCTCAAAGATTTTGTATAGAGAAAGTAGGAAAAGATACATGGTTACCTAGATCACATACATGCTTCAATAGATTGGATTTACCACCATATAAAAGTTATGATCAACTAGTAGAAAAATTAAATTATGCAATTGAAGAAACAGAAGGTTTTGGCCAAGAATAATTAAATACTTAAATATAATATACCACTATGTATGAGAAGTGATGAAAACAAGTTTAGTGTAGTACAAGATTTTATGATTTGATTTATCTTGTTTACAATAACAAGATAAAATTGTTAAGTAAGAATTTTTTTTAAATTAATGAATTAAAAATGTTTTGTATTAAACTTTTATAAGAAATTCTGATATTAATTTTAATTGAAAATTTATTTCAAAGCATACTTCTTTATTTTATATATATATATAATATATATATATATATTACAATTATATCTAAATATGTAAAATTCGTAGAAAATATCAATGAAGTGCACAGAAAATATTTAAAAAATTGTATATATTTACAAAGTAAAACTTATACAATTAATAAATCATAGAAATAATAAAATAAAAGCAAAGATGCCAAAATAATTATCTTATAATTGATTTTTTTTAAGATTAATCTTATCTAATTTTACTTCATTATGTTTCATTAATAATTATAATGAAATAAATCATGTTTTAATTGCTGTTTATTATTGATGCTTTCTACGATACTTAATATTCCCTAATAAAGGGCTTGAAAATTATAATAAGTGCTGTACATATTAAGCTATAAATATATTGTATTTTATGTGACAAATCAATAATAACGATTTCATGTTTTGTCCTAAGAAGATATAAAAAATTACATTAAAAACTTTGTAGATAGATTGAAAAATGAAAAATGGAAAATAGATTTAAAAATGGTTTTTTGTATGAAACTAAATAATTTATACAATTTTTATCATATAAATTTATAAAAATATAACATAATATATGATTTTTATATTATATTTTTAGTTGATTTTTTTATTATTTGAAATATTATAAACAAAATTTTTTTATTATTTGAAATATTATAAACAAAAAAAAATAGTAGCTTTTGTTATAAAAATCATGTTGCAAAATATTTGTAAATTATTAGCATTTATTATTTAATATTCGTGATAAATGAAATTCATTTGATAATAAATATCAGCATTTCTTTTTTTATTATTTCTATAACTATTTCTATTATCATATTGTGAATTATATGATTAAAATTTTAAAAATTTTCATTATTTATAGCTATTATATAAAATTTCATATTATTTGTTCTCATTTTTAAATATTTTATCTCTTTCAATTTAAATTTTGCTCCTTTACTTTTTTTTTGCGTAAATAAATAAATACCTATCTTGATTTTTTTGTAATTTTATAGCATTAACTTCTAAATAAAAAGTGTTATATTATCAGATTTAATTAAATTTTATATAATATTTTAAATACATTATATATTTGATATAGCAATGTCATTTTTCCGAGAATCTATTATTCATTTCAAATCAATTGGAAATTTTTAATATTATAAATACTATTATTATTGAATCATCATTAAAGTATTTGATATTTTTTTCATAAAATTTAAAATAAATTTAAATTAATTTTTTTAAATTTGAGTTTTTATATTGTTTGAAATAATGACTTAGGATTATAAACATGAAATTTATTAATATTTTTAATAATAATTTGTGTGTGCATATATATGCTCATATATGTATAAATAAATTGTAATTAATGTAAGAAATAATTAATACATTTAATAAAATGCATGCAAAAATATAAAATATATACATGTGTACACACAAATTATATTCATGAAATGTATATTTTGACAGTAATATAATAAAATATATATATATATATATATGTGAAAAAATTTATAATATAAAAATCAATTTGCTTATGTATTGGTTAATTAGTTAAAAATGAATATAAATATTTGTAAAATAACTTCTGTATAATGCATATTCTAAGTTTTGTAATTCAGTATATACAAAGTATACTATAGTATAACTATATATATAACTATATATATGAAAGTATTTACTATTTTTTTCTTAAGAATATTCATATGTAAATTTTTGAATGAATATGTATTTTATTTTCTATTATTTTTATTATTTCAATATAATAATAAATATCTATTATTTATTATGTATAATTTGATAGGTTGTTTTTTTATTATAGTAATTTTTATATTATTATAAT